AKWMAAATCAGAACTCACCTCCGGTGTCAAAACCCAGAACATGTTTATCTAAAGCGACAGGAACACCCTGAGGAGATAAAATATACAATTACTATACATTTCTGTCTAATATCACTGAGGACATCTGTCCTACTGCTGTCCTCACACACGTCCTGCTGTCCTCACACACGTCCTGCTGTCCTCACACACGTCCTGCTGTCCTCACACACGTCCTGCTGTCCTCACACATGTCCAGCTGTCCTCACACATGTCCTACTGTCCTCACACATGTCCTACTGTCCTCACACACGTCCTACTGTCCTCATACATTCTTAGCAAGTTTTTTCTTAACGTTTTGACATTAAATATCACAGGACTGTCCTCATTATTAGTAAAACAAAACAAAAATAAATTCCTGAGTGACTCTAAYTCTGTCGTATTATAAGCTTCTTTTATTCAAACATTTCTCTTTTAGTCWAACAGTTTCTGAGAGTGTAACGTGTGCAGGTGTACCTCTCTGCTTTGGTTGGCTTTAGCGATGGCCTCAGGTGAAAGTCTCTCCTGGATCAGAATCCGGACGGCCTGTTGAGCCCAAAWAAATAAATAAAAATACTGAATATTAAACTGTTCAGAAAGTCCAAGTTCACTTGAACAAACTTCAACAGCCAGAGGCTTTTATTGTGAAATTTAATGGAAAACACACCAATTATAACTTCCTGAAATACATTCAGTATTTACTTACTAACAGGTTTTATTAATCTAAAATCTGTTTGAAGTCACGATGAGGCTTCAAACAGCCGAGCACGGTGGCGGCAGCATCATGCTGTGTGGACAGAGTCATATAAAGTGTTCCTTAATGAGGAGGAAAGCTCCTCTCACCTTGAGCATGACCAGGTAATCGTCGTGTCTCTGGATCTTCAGGATGTTRGCCAGAGCTGTTACTCCTGCTTTGAAATCTGGAGAATTACCTGTAAAAACAAAAACTAAAATAAACAAACACATAAAGAAGAAAACAGAAAGTCAAACTAATAATGGAGTGTTTAAACTTACTGTCCAGGTTCAGGAGAGGATCTGTTGGTTTATCGCTCAGACCAGAAGCTGCTAACGGCTGACAGTTTTTATACTTTTCCACTGTGACAAAATAAAGTCATTAAAATCTGTAAGAGTGGCTCACAGGACATTTTGCTAAKAGACACAAAATGTTGTTTTCTTTGATTATASCCCCATCTGCTGGTCATCAGAGATACTTCAACTGTTGAGACTTTTATGAGTAAAAACAGAACTTGTGCAGCGTCTCACCGTTGTCTCCATATTCGTATCGCACAGCCAGGCCCAGTAACCAGTCCACAGCCTCCTTCCGCTCCTGGACTCCAAAGGGACAGTTCAGGTCCTGCAGGTACTGCGTCAAACAGGAAGGAAGCTCAGAACCAGCTCACTGACGGGGGTCATGTGGATCAGGTTTGATGGTCTTCTCACCTTCTCATAGGCTTTAGGCCAGTCTGAGCTGGGGATATTCCTCAGGTTGCCCCTGTCCTCGATCTTGTAGTGTCTGACCTTCTGGTCCTCCAGCCACACGARACAGTTTCTGAACTGAGTTTCATCTGAACAGAAAACAAAGAAACACTAAACACACAGGAGGCTGTAGAATAAATTATTATTGTTATCACCCATTGTCATAAGAACCAAAGGAGTTGTTCCAGTTTAGCTTAAAACTATAACTTAGTTGCTAATGCTTCACATATTGGACCAATCAGAATAGGACTTTCTTAAATAACAAAATACCTTACTACTAAATCTACCTTGCTAATATTATTGCCGAAAAGTTCAGTGATGTATTGGGATTATGATTTAAAACAAATCAAAGTAAACAAAATATGACTATTGCTAAAACAAAGAAGGACTCCATAAAATGTATATATTTTAACATAGGCGTTCGCTGTGTCTGTGGCAGGGATTCTGGGATTCGTACACGCTCGTTAGCCGCGGCTCTACCTCTGACTCACCGAAACTTGTAAAATAAATTATTCTGTGTCTCACCTGAACAGTCAAACCCGTTCGGATCGTGATAATCCAGAGCTGTTAGTTTTCTACGAAACATTTCACAGAAAACACCTTGTTTTTGATGSCACAGGAACAGACTACCACGGAGCTAACTCAGTGCGCGATACTGCGCATGCGTCGTCGGAAACTGCACGCTTCTACCGGAACTTTCAAAATAAGATCAAAACCGGATATGGCAACAAGAGCATGTTTCAACATAAACTTTATTAAAAATTGTTTAGCCCTTAGGTCATTAAAGATTTGTGACTTTGTGGGTTTAAACTGTCGACAGAAAAACTTGCGTGGCTGCCGCACATCCTCACGGCAGGTGAAAAGTGTGCGTGTATTTACGCACACTTTCACGCAATATACGTTTATACATGAGGCCCCAGTTATGAATCAAGAGGAATGAATTGGTTTGTTCAGCTTTGCTAAATGTGGAGTTCAAAATATTTCAATCTTAAATGTGATGGGGACACTTCCCCTTCACGAATAGTTACTGTGATGTCTGTCGTTTTATTTAAAGTAATGTCACAAAATACAGTATATTTTAAAAACATTTACTAAGAACAAGCTTTCTCAGTTTTAAAGCCTCTTCTGTGTTAAAACAAGTTTTATTTACTTGTTGATGTTWACTTTTGTTCAACTGTACAAACTACATCTGTAGTATTATCCCAAGCTATTCTTTATTTGCTTTTTCATGACACATTAGTTTGAATAAATACAGRGGGTAAAATAAGMATTGAACACYTCAACATTTTTCTCAGTAAATATATTACTAGAGGTGCTAATGACATGAAATTTTCACCAGATGTTGGTAACAACCCAAGTGATCCATACATACAAAGAAATCAAACCATAAATGTCCAGAAATGAAGTTATTTGTAATAATGTGGAATGGCACAGGGAAAAAGTATTGAACACATGAAGAAAGGGAGGTGTAAAAAGGCATGGAAAGCCAAGGCACCAGCTGAACTCTCTCAGTAATTAGAAAGCAAGCCTGCCCCTTGTCAGTGCAAATTAATATCAGCTGGTTCAGTCCCAAATGATGGCCAGGTATCACACAAGAACCATCTGATGATGGGTAAAAGTAAAGAGCTCTCTCAAGACCTTCACAACCTTATTGTTGCAAAGCATAATGATGGCATCGGTTACAGAAGAATGTCTAAACTTCTGAAGGTTCCAGTGAGCACTGTTGGGGCCATAATTCAGAAGTGGAAAGAACATTATTTCACCATAAACCGACCACGACCAGGTGCTCCTCACAAGATTTCTGACAGAGGAGTGAAAAGAATTATCAGAAGAGTTGTCCAAGAGCCAAGGACCACTTGTGGAGAGCTTCAGAAAGACCTGGAATTAGCAGGTACGATTGTTTCAAAGAAAACAATAAGTAATGCACTGAACCACCATRACCTAATTTCCCTCTGGGATCAATAAAGTATTTTTGAATTGGATAAATTTCAGTAAGTGTGTTCAATACTTTTTCCCTGTGCCATTCCACATTATTACAAATAACTTCATTTCTGGACATTTATGGTTTGATTTCTTTGTATGTATGGATCACTTGGGTTGTTACCYACATCTGGTGAAAATTTCATGTCATTAGCACCTCTAGTAATATATTTACTGAGAAAAATGGTGACGTGTTCAATACTTATTTTACCCACTGTGTGATTTGGGTCTGGGAGAGAAAACCCACTCTTGCACAGGMTGAATATGGAAACAACTCAGAAAGTTGATCTAAAACTTTCTTCCTTAGAGGGAACATGTTGCTCTACCAACTGTGCTGCCTAATTTTATAATTATAGTAGAATTACTTCAATTTAATTAACTATTTAATTAAAATATATCAATTTTTGGKAGACTTAACATCCATATTTGCATAATAAACACACTAAAGAGGATAAAAATGTACATTAATAAATAAATGCATTGATAAAATCCTACTGATAAAATTTCACGACTTAAACAGAGATCACTTCATACAGAAACAATTGAAGCAGTGTGTTCTCAGGCTGGATAATAAGGATAACTCACTGCTGTTACCTGATCCATCCAGGCCTTCTTTAAAACTCAACATCAACTTTCTTAAAAGTGCTTTCAATGTGCAAACGCACTCCTAAAATGAGCAAAACACAAACAAATATTAGCAACACATGATCTAAATACTAAATTTGGCACTTTAGAAAAAGCTCAAATTAGGAACCCAGTAACTAGCTACTAGCATACAAAGTAGAAACACATTACGCTAAAAAGTCAAAGTACCTTTATTAGTTTCCCTCAGGATAAATTTGCTTAGGAAAAGMGGGTAAGTAAAATTTATTTATATAGCATCTTTCATTAATATAAATTATATGGTCTGTTGCACAACGAACACATTAAAACTCACATAAAGGACATTAATTCTCTGTCCCTCTCTGACAATGATGAGTTTCTGTTTACATAAAATAATCCTGTGTTTTCTTCCTCAGTTCACAGCATAAACACATTCTGAATGCAGAACARGAGGAGTTAGAAAGACACTGCCTGACTGAGGGGCGTCTGCTCAAACAGATCTTGTAAAGTTAAAGGTGCAGCTGTACCCATGATTTTTACCTGTTTGATTTAACACCAGAGTCTGGTCAGATTACAAAACTAAAACAATGAATTTAACACGGTAGCTTAACTCACATCAAGTAACACATTAATGTAGAACTACCACGACAGCAGCTAAAAGCTTCAACGATAACAAGCTGAAATAAATGTTTMGTTATAAGAAAGGTAAGATAAAAAATCAAACTGTGGAAATATACAGAATTTACAACAAAAAACTTTGAAGGGAACGATGACTCAGCAAAAAACAGACGGTAGAGTCGATGGGGGGGAACCGCTTTATTAAACACTAAGATTTATAAAATGAGTCAAAACCATTCAAGATAACAAAAAACGAAAACAGACACGCGTCCTCCTGTCGGACGATGTGGCGTGCACATGTTCAGAAAGGCCTCATGCGTGGGCCGAGGGGCGGGGCTCGGTTCGGCGGCGTGATGGCGATATCCAAATAGTCTCCGATATAYAAGCGCTGAGACTGCAGCGTCATGGAGTCATCCGGACCCTTCCGGCCTGACACAGTGCTGCCGATGTCTTTCAACCTGCGGAGGAGGGGACACGTTTCAGACTCAGGGTTTTAATACAAATCTTGATTTCTACGAGTTCAATCAGCGCCGCGCGGACCGAGATACTAACTTGTACATTTTACTTCTGGGGTCAGGGAAGACGATGGCGAAACTGAAGTGGGTCCCCTTCTTCCTGGCCTCTGGGTACACTTCTTTAACTAAACCAGTGAGTTCCTTCAGAGTAGCATCCATCCTGCATCAAACAAACAAAAAAACTGGGTTTTAGTTTTCCCCGCGACCCAACCGCTCACCATCAGAACCCAAGCTTGGAGAGTTTCAATAAAATGTCACCAGGTGTAAATCTGCAGTTCACTGGAAGGAACGCTGCCTCGAGAAAACTCATCCACTCGGTGATGTCGGCCGCTGTTGGTGGTAAAAACTCGCAGAAGAAGAGGGCAGGTCTGCAGAAAACCGAGAAGAAATAAGGAAATCTTACACTTTCAACAAGATAATCAGATGATGCTCATTTTCACTTTTGACTAATGAGTTGTTAAATATAGCTTTTAGCAACGTCTCACCTGATTTAACTTTTAGACACCATGCTGCTATTTTTGTCTTTTAGCTACAGCTTTTCCAATTATACTGTTTAGTGACCATTCTGCCAGATTTAACTTTTTATCCGCTATTTTACTGATTATAGCTTTGAGCAACCACAGTGCTTGTTTAGATTTTTAACACTTAAGCTATTTTTTGTTAAGCTTTATTGTTAGCTATTTAACAATAAGTGTAAACACAGCAGTGTAATAATCCGAATTACTTTATTTATTTGAAATAACCTGAACACAAGGGTAAAAGCTTTATGGGAGATTTATTTTGAAATCTCGTCCGGAACATTCGCAAAGAACATGATAACTGACGCCCTCTGGTGGCTTTAATACATTACTACAACTGTCCGCGCAAACACTACTAGTTTTACAACAAACTATTAGACATAAAAGRTGAATAACTGTAAATATGCCACACAATGAATTTATTTTATTCTTTAAAAAAAGCTATCTAGCTCTGATATATAGCTACAATTAACATGAAGATAGCCTGTAGCTTTAGCATGCAGCATGTGAACAMAATCATGCAAACCTTGTTTTTATTTTTTTAAATTCCCAAGATAAATGTTTAATAAGACGCTAACACCCGTGTTAAAGATTGTATAATATCTCGACTTTGTTTTAAATAATGATYAAATAAGAAAACGTGTTTACACACGATTATACTATATGTGGCGAATATAATGCTGCTAGCACAGTTAGCACGCTGTTCGATATTTATAAGTACTTTATTGGTGCAAAATAATAATAATTTTAAAAGAGCACTCATAAAACGTAAGTTCTGTCGCTGTATATGACTCGTTTTGTGAATTACCTTACAGTGGTGGAAACTGATTAGCGTTTTGTAAGATTTGCTAACTAAGTTAGCTCGAGGCTCATGGTGGTAAACAAGCCATTAAGTTATGCAATAAAAAAATAAAGTTTACCTTTTCCCGGTCGATGGGTTTTTCAGGCTCCTTCTTTATCTCCTCCTGAGTGATCCGTGATTCTAGAGCCATTTTTATCGGTTTAATACCTAAATATTTCGGCAGCGACTTGTGGTATTTTATCGTAACTGATTGGGGGCCAGCTACAAAAAAATGCCGTAAAGCGACCGACAAGCGTTCCGCTGTCGTGGTTGTATGGCAGTTCGTTGCATCATATAATTATACCACAGGTTCGATGTCTTCYAAGCAGTTCATTCAATCTATATAAATTGCATTTTTACTGTTAGAGCTGAAATTAAACATGGTTTACATTAAAAAACATCTTATTTAAAAGATTTCTTAGGAAAAAAACATTTAAAATGTTTTTTAAAAAATCAATA